TGAAAAGAGTAAGGTTCTACATTTAGGCAAGAAAAACGAAATGCACAGGTACAGTATAGGTGGTATAGTTTGAGGGAATCAAACAATTCTCCAAAACACTTGAAGGCACAATAAGCAATGGATGGAAATTAGCCAATCTAGAACCAAGGAGAAATTTCCTGACAGTTAGAACAATTAATCAGTGGAACAGAAGTTGTGAATGCCCCAACACTGGAAGTCTTTAAGAAGATGTTGGATAGACATTTGTCTGAAACGGTATAGGGTTTCCTGCCTAGGCAGGGGATTGGACTAGAAGACCTCCAAGGTCCCTTCCAACTCTGCTATTGTATTGTATAGTTCTTGCCAGAGATCTTCAGAAAGCTTCACTTCATGCTTAAAATGTTCATAGAATTATAAATTAGGTTGGAAGGGACTGCAGAGGTCATATAATCCAGGAAGAATATATTATGAAACCTATGGCATCCTGCCCTTTTTTTCCACTGAAATTTACCACTTTCTGGGACAGGCTATTTCAAGGCCTCTTATTGTTAATAAATTCTTCTTTATGTACTGAGGTAGTATCAAGTATCCTCTCCACACAGACACACGTATGAGTTGCATTCAGCACCAACCCTATCAGATGCTGAGCTTATACATGTGAAAATGCTTCCTTGTAATTTAAACTCACAATTTAGTCTTCTGTAAACTGGAACAACACCATGAAATCTACTCAAATTCTATATAACAGTCTTGTAAACAGTTTCAGTGTTACTTGGAAAGTCCCACAATCAAAAGGATTAAAGATCACACCCAGATGTACACATGTACTTCTAATCTTTGCAAATAATCAATAACATAACCTTTAATCTCAAAATCTCTACTGATTTGGTTTGGTTTGGCTGGCTCTTCTGCTGTTTTTCAGTTTGAGATCATTTGAAAACAAAAGACTTAAGTTATTCTGACTTGCTATAATTTTTGTGTGTGCATGTTACACTCCACTCTTCATTCTCTTTTATGTTCTTGAGTAGATCTCAGTGCATTTAAAACATGCAAATGTAGGATGTACTATTTGGGCAGCTAAACCTGGATAACAGCATTGGTTGCACTGTCTTTGATAAGTATAAAAGTACTATCTTTAGTACAGTACTATCTTTAGTAAGGAGATGGACAGTTAAGAGCTTATATATAGGGACAGAGATATAAATCTGTGTTCAAATGGATTAATAAATAACAGAAGTAAACCAACTTGTACTTTCTAAAACATAGCTATGGTTTGTGAAAATTTCTATTCAATATTTGTTTTATTTCATAGAATAATACTATTTAAAATGTACTTGGGAGGCCCTCTCATCCAATCCTCTCTGCCCACAGCAGGAATCCTTAAGTCATCCCATACTGTCCAACATTGCTTGGAAACCTTCAATAACAAGGCATCCGTGGCTTCAGATGAAAGGCTGTTCCACTGGTTAATAGTTCTTGTAGTTGGGACATTCCTAGTTATTTTAAGGTTGCATCTACCACTGTATCTCCCTCCATTTATTTACAAAATTTATAAATTGCCCAAATCGGATTGACTCTAGGTAGCATGCGTCTCAGTAGTTCAACTGTACAATAATTTATAGTAAATAAATCAGAATAATTATGATTCTAAATGAACAACTGAAGGCAATGAAGTAGTACTGAGAAAGTATAACATTGTAAGTGAGTGTAGGGTAGAGGGGAATTATGCTTTCAGGAAAAGCTAACCCAGTAGGGGCTTCTACTGAAAAGTTCTGTCTCCTGATATAGCCAACCCTCTTCATTTCTTTTGGGGGCAGAATGTTTGGCAGGCTAATTGCAAGCAGCTTGTTAACTCTATTATATTTACTCTTGAGGTGTGAATGCAGTGTATGTCATAATACAGTGTATATATCTTTACTTGGGGGAATTAAAGTAATAATAACGTTTACTTCTTCAATCTAACTCAAACAGCTAAGTACTTGAAAATTATTAGAACTATATTCGGTGTTTGCGTTTATTTGTTGTAAATTGATTTTTGTTTCCTTCTAGGTTGAAAACCTTTTATTGAATGACAGTGGAAACTATGTGCTTTGTGACTTCGGCAGTGCCACTAATAAATTCCTTAACCCTCAGAAAGATGGAGTCAGTGGAGTTGAAGAAGAAATTAAAAAGTAAGTTGCACACCTTAAGGCAGCAGTTTTCTCCATCCTAACAATAGCAAAATACATCTTTAAAATGTTTGCAAATCTCAAGTGCCTGCTTTAATAGCAGAACGTTTTTTTTAAAAAATAATGTATCCAAAGGCTCGGTTCTTTAATTGAATGAATTCGTACATTTAGAAATCCGTTCTATATAGTCCTCATTTAATGACCTTTCCATCAATGGCCTTTTGAAGTTACAGTGGTGCTAAACAAATAGTTATGTTTTTCAGAGATAAAGCCACTGAAGCACTTCTCTCCCTGTAGTCCCATGATCAAAATCCAGAGCTTTTCTGCCTGTCTGCATTAACAATTCTAGCATGCACTTCAACCTTCCCCCACTCTGCCATCTCTGCCCCTTTGGGCACTCTGCATTCTGTGACCTCCCCCCTCCTTCCTGCCACTCCTGCTGCCCCCAGCTGACCTTTAGTATCCTTTTCCTTCTGCCATTGATGTAGAATGCTTTTGCTCTTTGCTATTGTGTGCATCCCTAAATTGCAAAAAACTAAGCCAAACCGTCAGTAATCAAAACATTTTATGTGCATATCCAGGTCTGATTTCTTAATCAACCACCTTGAGAAAAATGTATCAGAGTGTCATAATTTTTTTAAAAAAAATAAAATAAATAATAGCCCACCTTCAAGTACTTTTACTAGTGCAACAGCTGTGTAGTTTGGGTTTGTAAAACAGGTTACAGTAGTCATATTTGTGTTTGATTAACTTTTACTCTTGACTTTTGTTATTTTGCCTTAAGGTATACCACATTGTCGTATAGAGCTCCTGAAATGATCAATCTTTATGGAGGGAAAACAATTACAACCAAGGCAGATATCTGGGTAAGATAAACTCTTTTGTAAGAATTAATAAGAAAGGAGCTGACCAAATCAGTATATTAGAAGAATCTATAAGAAGCCAGGTTTATTGTAATCTTTCTTAATTTCAGTGAGTCTGCTGTGTATAAGTGTCTGAATCCAACTCACATCTTCTATACAATTTATAAAAAGGAAATGGGTGACATTTTTAATCTGCCAAATTCAATGTAGAACATAATTTTAAAAGAATCATATTTATTTTGGTTTTTTTAAAATTCTGTTGACTAAATTTATAGAAACAATTCAATCCATTACATTCGGAAACTACCGTATTTTTCGGAGTATAAGATGCACCAAGGTTTTGAAGAGATAAATAAAAAAAAAGTTTTTGCACTCTGCAGATCTCCCCAAAATGGCCTGTTTTTGTGGGGAAAAAAGGGCACGAATAGCCTTTAGGAGGCTTGTAGAGTGCTTCTGGGGGATGGGAAGGAGCAAAACTGAGCAAAAAACGGCCTGTTTTTCGCTCATTTCTGCCATCCCCAGCTCCCAGGAGCACTCTGAAAGCCTCCTACAGGCTCCTACAGGGGGTGGAGTTTCGGGGGTGAAAAAATGCTGTATTTAGTGTATAAGACGCATCCAGATTTTCAGCTTTTTTTATGAGGGAAAAGGGTACGTCTTATACTCCAAAAATACAGTATTTACCACAATAGCACTTTTGCTAGGACATGTGCACTTTGAAGATGTAGAAGTGAAATAAATGACCATCAGAATAAATTGTCATAATGCCACAAGCAGCAAAAAAAAATATCAAGAAAATTATTGTTAAAATGAGCAAATGTGACAGAATTATAGTTTAGGAAAAGTTGCTGCTAAATAGTACTAAATGATCTAAGTAACACAACATGTTTTAATGGTTTTATTATTATATCTAGCAATTGTTTAAATAATATGAAATTGTGATAACAAAACTGATTGCAACTTTTGAAATAGTCTGCTGTTTTTATAGTTCAGTTACTACTATAATGATGTGCTTTTTTAAACAGGCCCTTGGCTGCTTGCTGTATAAACTTTGTTTTTTCACACTTCCCTTTGGTGAGAGTCAGGTTGCTATTTGTGATGGAAGCTTTACCATCCCAGACAATTCACGCTATTCACACAGTATGCATTGTTTGATAAGTAAGTAACTGGTACACTTTACCTACTGAACTTTCTATGTGAAATTAAATTGCTACGTGCAGGCATAACATGTTAATATCACGAGGTTTTAAAAATAAATAATGTGTTCAAAGGGACGTGATGGCTCAGTGGCTAAGATGCTGAGCTTCTTGATCAGAAAGTTCGGCAGTTCGGTGGTTCGAATCTCTAGTGCCACATAACAGAGTGAGCTCCCGTTACTTGTCCCAGCTTCTCCCAACCTAGCAGTTTGAAAGTATGTAAAAATGCAAGTTGAAAAATAGGAGCCACCTTTGTTGGGAAGGTAACAGCGTTCCATGCGCCTTCAGTGTTTAGTCATGCCGGCCACATGATCATGGAGACGTCTTTGGACAGGGCTGGCTCTTCGGCTTTGAAACAGAGATGAGCACCGTCCCCTAGAGTTGGAAACGACTAGCACATATGTGCGAGGGGATCCTTTACCTATACCTAATGTGTTCAAAAACTCAGTTCTTTAGTTGAATGAATTTCTACATTTAGAAGTCTGTTATAGGTAGTCCTAAATTATTATACTTAGATTTCAATGGCTCTTTGTGTATAATCAGACTTCTAATTCCTGTTAATACCTTCTTTTCTCTTCCCCTCCCTTTCTAGAGAAAGTTATTGCAAATATACATTTTTTTTACAGATTTATAATTTTAGCTATGTTGGAATAGCAGTGCTCTTTTGGTTCTCTAAATTTATTTTGACATTTTATGACAGCATTGCTAACTCTGAGCAACGGCTTAGTTAATGCAATCTTTTATGTGTGATGGATCACCACCCATAAAATAAGTTTAGAAAGTTCTTGGGTCCCTATCAAGCCACTTTTCTTCCTTAAAAAATGCCATCAATTTATAAACAAAAAATTACAGATGTATGAAAAGTGATACTTCCATTTTTGTGTAGGCTCACTTTGCTTTCAAACTAAAAAAAAATATTCGTCTACTAGAGTGCTTATGCAGGGAATGGTACTAAAATTTTTGATTGTCTGTAGCTTAATCCTGACCAGTACAGATGAAACTCTTTTTGGAATCTAAAAAATAATAGCGTTAAGAAGTAAAGAATCTCATGGAAAATTGCTTCATTATCACACAGTCATCAAATGTACATTGTGATGATTTTCCAGGTAGAATTGATGTGGTATTTTATTTGCCTAAGAATGATACAATAGGAGATACAGCATTCAAGAATATCTAGCCTTGGCAGTTTAAGGGTGTGGAAAGTTAAAATTGGTACCATAAATTAGGCCTGAAAGATAATTTACAGTGGTGCCAAATGGTGATTAAAATAATTTTTTGAAGCAGTTTAGAATAATTTAGCTGTTAAGTTGTGAAGGCATGAAATTAGCCAGATCTAATTTAAAAAGAAAAAAAAACAACTCTGTAGCTTTGTTGCTAGATAGAACTGGTACAAAGTTCACAGTGTGATTTATGGATAGAGGTAAGACTATTACATAAAATAATGTAATGACAATTAAGAGGAATCAATCCAATCACTCTATCCTCTTAACACCCATACCTGGCTATGGTACTTCCTTAATCTGTAGAAAATAATGTAATTAGAACTCAGAGGTAACTATAAAATCAATTTATTCACTCTTAATAAACTTGGTTGCCTTAGTGACTTTTCACTTTTATGTTAATAATTTAATTTGCTGTACTCAACAGGATACATGCTTGAACCAGATCAAGAGCGAAGACCTGATATCTTTCAAGTATCTTATTTTGCCTTTAAACTTGCCAAAAAGGACTGTCCAATTTTAAACATGAATGTACGTAGATCCGTATTTGTGCCTGTTTTGACACAGTACATCTTGTTCAGAATAATAAGTAGGAGTGGTAATCAGGTTTACTTAAAAAAATATTAATTCATCTTCCTCTGTTGAAAAAGGCCATATCTTTTAACAAATGTAGTATCAACAAGGGAAGAGTTTATTCTTAAAAGTTACCGAATAAGATAATGTATGCTTGTATTGATCATAACAAATGCAATATGCATTTTTAATGCACTTGACATATTACTTCCTGGCCTCATTTCCAAGATATGCTTGTGTCATTAAATAATTGACCAAGTTAAGAGCTATTCACCTGACCTTGTTTCTTGCAAAAACAAAAACGAAAATCAAAGTTAAAAATGCAGAATAGTACTGTACAGGTGGTCTTTGAATTACAACAGTAATTGGGACTGGAATTTCTGTCACTAAGCAACCTGATCATAAAGCCACCATCAGAAAGCCGCCTCCGTTGCCCTGCACTCTGCAAGCCTTGCTGCGCTCAGGTGACTTTCACCATCTTCTTTCCATTGTTGACGTGGGGTACCTGGCCTCTCCTTATGTGAGGCAGCTGTTAGCCACATCAAGACTTCTTCCCAAATGTCATTCTGCAAATAGCGCATACTGTTCCTCTGACACTTTAGAACAGGGATGTCAAACTCAGGGCCCGCGGGGTGCTTAGATCTGGCCCTGAAAACAGTGAAGGATCGGTCCATGGTGTCTCTGCCATCGAAAATGGATCTCGTAAGGCCTCCCAAGCTCTGTTTTTGCTGGCAGAGGGTTGCAGGAGGCCATCACAGCCGAAAACAGTCAACTCGTAAAGCCTTCCTGGCCTGTTCTTGAGTTGCCATAGGCAGGACAGCGGAGAACTGACGGAGCAGCTCAGCAGTCATGACCAGAAACACATTCCACGCATACCTTTCTCAAGGCTGTATCCCAGGTTAGCAGAGCCAGCCAGAGAGGTGTGTTTTCTACAGTCCATGAAAGTGCTCCGTTGGGAGAATGTGATTTATGACACACCCTGGGAGGAGGGGGGAAAACACGGTCATAGTTGGGCCGTAAATTACATGGGGCAGAGCTGACTTCACTCCATGCTGAGATGTTGCTCTTAATAAATAACTGGATTTCTTTTGAAACTTGGCTCGAGCCTCAAGAGTTAATTAGGGCATCCATGGGAATCCTGACAGTGCCCCCAACATGAGTGATATCGAGCTTGCCATGGCCACTCTGTCCCCTCGAGGCCAAACACAACCCTGATGCGGCCCTCAATGAAATCGTGAAATCGTGCTTTAGAAATTTTTGGGGACCACCTGAAACCTCACAAGGCGGCTACACCCCCCAGTTCTCCAAATAGAATAATACCATATATAGGCTTCCTTGTTTATTGTTGGTATGCAATGTGATTATGTTCAACTTGGTATGATATAAAACTTTTCTGTTACTATTTTTTTAAAAAAAATCTACTCCTAACATATACTCGCTTATTTCCCCAAGAATTCTCCTCTCCCTTCAACTCTTCCTGAGCCCTTGACAGCTAGTGAGGCTGCTGCTAAGAAAAGCCAAATAAAAGCTAGGTGAGTGCAATAATTTTATTAAATAATTCAGTCCACTTTTTTTTTGGCATACTATTAAACTTCATTATGCAGACCTTTGTCCTGTGGCCACAAGATGCTCACTTCTGAACACAATTTCCCCTGGTGTGAGTGCTGTGAGTCCAGGAAAGCTCCTAGTTCCATGTAGAACATAGTTCAGTTCAGAATCAGAATTGGTACAAGACCGTGGTCAGCCAGCTGCTGAATGAATAGCCACTTGCTCTTGCTTGGGTAGAATCCAGGCTGGTTACTCCACATGCAATCCTTCCAATGCATTGCTAACTTCCCATTGGCTTCATGCAGAGTTTAAATGGGATGAAGGGAAAGCTGAAGCCTAGAATCCCCCATAATGAATTGACCCCACTCTCCTCTACAACAATTGATGGACAGAACCTGCCCGCTGTGCTGTCATTGTGCAGTGCTTTCGGCCCTTGTAGATGGCCCTGAAGGATAGTATAGCTAACAGTGATAAAAAAAAATTGCCATAAGATCCATCTTGGCTTGAATCTACACAGTGATAATTCTGGATCATATGCTTCATTCAGAATGCTTTTGTTGCTCCATTGCTATTTATAAAAATATTAACTCTATTGAAAGTTTTAACGAGCAGATAAAAGTAATATAAAGGAAGGAAAAAAGGGGAAAGAAAAAAAAAGTGCAGGAAAAAAAGATAAATAGAAGTGCTGTGAGCTCCCATATTTTCCTCTGCTTTCCACTCTTGTTCTCTTGCATATATGTTAAGAGAAAGGGTACTTGAGACAAGGGTTGCCCATTTAAAGAGAATAATCTGGTATATAATCCGGAGGAGAGCCTTCTCGGTGGCTGCTCTGACCCTCTGGAACGAACTCCCCATGGAGATTCGGACCCTCACCACCCTCCAGTCCTTCCGCGCCGCCCTAAAGATTTGGCTGTCCCGGCTGGCCTGGGGTTAAGACTCTAACCCCACTCGAATTGTGTGGCTGTTGTGTTTTTTTTAATATGTTGTATTGTCT